TTTCCTCCTCCTTTTCTTTACCTCTTTGCCTTTTGGCTGCGTGCAAGTGGGTCCTTGTGACACACGAGGATGGGGGCAGCCAGCGCTCAACCTATCATCCACGTGGCTGGCCTTGTACGTAAGAGGTGATGAACAGGTGGGACTTGACTTCCTTCCTTCTTTTCCTTTCCCTGTTTTTTTTTCGCCTTCGCGCTCTGATTCACAGTGTGACAATATATATATGACGATATATATGTATGTATATATGACAATGTATATGTATGTATATATGACAATGTATATGTATGTATATATGACAATGTATATGTATGTAGTCAGCTAGGGGCCTTCCTCCACTACTCACCACATTCAGAAAAGACAAAAAGTAGGGCAGTGTATCTTCCTGTGTTCTAGCGAAAGATTCGTTGTCATTTTGCACAGTTGGTGAGTAGTGGAGGACAGGAAAGGGGGGCGGTGACAGAGTGTTTCGTCCAAGTTTCAGCGACTCATCATCAGGAGGCTGAACCCTCAACAGTCTGCAGAGGTGGGGACCACCAACCACTTTAACCCTCTACAGTCTGCAGCGTCTCCTCACCGATGACACTGTATATGATTATTCCCACCTTAACCCTGGTTGCAGTTGAGCATCAACCCCTGCTACCCCATCACAACTGAAACCCCTCTGAGGACGTGGGGACCACCAACCACTGCCCTTCTGATGAAAATCAAAGCAAACTATCACCCACCTCCCGGCACCCCCAACGACACAAAGAAGCTCTTCGCAGCCAGAGATTACCCTCCTCCGGGCCGCGCAGCGACGGCCCCTACCAAGAAATGTGTAGATATATCCTCACATGTATATATAGTCAAACAGAGCTGCCCGGTAAACTGTAGGCAGAGAGGGAGAAGAGGACAACAAACGAGGGGCTGTGACAAACTGTTTCGTTGGAGTTTCACCGACTCATCAGGACTCAGGAGGCTGAACCCTTAACAGTCTGCAGAATCCCCTAACTGATTGCACTGTGAGTGATAATCCACCTCAACCCCGGCTGTGTATATATAGATATGTATTGTCATGCGAGGCATAGGCCTCGATAAGCCCTACTAGGCCCCTATTTGCAACAGGTCGGCCGCCCTAAGTGAAGGCAGGCTCGACAGACGACAAGAGGCCTACTTTGGACTACTTCGCAACTGGGAAAAATTCAGGCAGTTGCGCAGCGCTAGTTGGTTGAAGGCGCCCAGGCCCTGGCCTCCTTTATCGAATGTATCTAAGTCAGGCCCTGGGCTAGATACGCAGCAAAGACCCAACTCAGACAGTGGGCAGTTGGGCACGGGTAAGTGTCGGTGGCCCTGGGTCTGATTTGTTTGGTCTGAGGCTCAGCCTCCCTGGGCCTACCGGAAGTTTCTGGGCAGGGGCCCAGCGCAGCCAGGCTGCACGCAAGCAGGCTGGCCACTTCCATTTAGGAAAGGGCCAGCCCACGCATTGGGCATTCGGGCACTGGCTGCATGCTGCGCAAGCGCTGCTGCGCTAGCGCTGGCCAGGCTCAAGCGCTCACGGGCGAGCGGGAAGGAGCAGGCAGCCATAGCCGAGCTGCGCTGCTGTATGTTGGATGGGGTGCATGGTGGTCCTTGGGTGCAAGTGGCATCTGTGTGAGTTGGGGAACGAGGTTGTGAGTGATACGACGAGAGACATACCTGGTGCTTGAGGCGTGCGGCATTGGCCGAGATCTGCTCGTACTTGGGAAGCTGTTGACGTCATTAGCGGCATTGTAGTCTAGGCTAGATAGGATCTGCCATTTGTAGTCTGGGCGCCGAGTGCCAGATAGGATATCAACATTGGTTCTTCGTTGATGATGATGAGACTATTCCAACATTGTTAAGTATGAGCTTTTGCTGTGCTCTTATTTGGTGACACTCGTGATGCAATTCTGCTATTGGTTCGAGGTCACGACTATCTGGTCTCATGTGTATAATGCTGTTTGATTTCCGAAGTTCGCTATCACTTCGTCTTCCTTGCAATTTGGTATCGGAGCTGTGGTTCGGTGCGCTAATCTGGCGCTTGTCTTCTGCCTAATGCGGTACATACACGCGGTGTGTGCAGTGAGCGACCGTGCCGTGGGACGTGTGTAGTGAGGAGGGCGAAGATAAGTAGGCGACCCAGGTGGAAAGGGGTTCGCCAGGAAGGCTATGCGGTGATTATTTGGGTGTTCGCAGTGTGATGAGAACTATCCGGTGTGTGACTGATGCTGAGGTGGAACGGTGGTGCAATGCTGGTTGTGCCGAAGCAGCGATTGGTCATCACAATCAACATCGGGTCATCTGGTGAGAATATTTGTGGTTGGGGGCGGCTATTTTGACGTACGTTGCACATAACCTTATCTACCCTTTTCGACACTTCTTACCGTGAGGATGTGTGTTCTGTCTTGAAGTCCTCTCATGTGAGGAGTCGTGTGCGCTCAACCTTGAGAGTCGTCAGCCTTCACGTGGAGCATTTGGAAGGAGAGGGCGGTGCTATCTGAAGGGCCCTGGATGAAGCACTGGGTCTCGGTCACCATGCCAACCCACCGGGAGTAGAGCACGCTTGCTTTGCTGCTTTGTCCTTTGTATGCTGGCTGCGCTGTAGAGGGGTTCTGAAGGGCAGGCCAGCCCTCTGGGACAGACGAGACCGGACAACTATAAATAAGCATCGACGGGGTACCTTCCATTGGCTGTGATCGTCGTCCTGTTTGCGACGTTAAATAATTCCTAAGGACTTTGGGGGCCGTCCATAGAAACGCCTCCTGATCAGCCAATCGGTCGGTGTAAGGCTTGTTGCGCGTGAGGATAAAGACTGTGCAGGGCTGGCCAGCTCAACAGGACTCAGGGCACAGGGGTGGGCCGTGTGCACACCTTTAGACACGCACGCTGTCCGGATTGCTCAGGGACCTTGGCGACAAGAGACATTAAGGAAGAACTGAGGGAGGGGTAAATTCCAGGTGATAAGTTTGGGCAAGATTCCACTCTGCAAACAAACCCAACAAATGATTCTATTTTTGTTTTGATTAGTTAGATGTACAACCATTAACATCTGATAGACAACATAGTTTATAACTATTTTTTGTTCATTGTGCTTCTGCTTGTGAACTAGTCAAAGTCAAAGTAGTTTCGTTTGTAGGAACCTGAACTTATCTGTTGGACCCAAATGTATATACTCTCTGACGCAACCACCGATTAATTAGTTATAAATCGGTCTGTGCATGACGCTGCGGTAGGCACGAATGAGTGTCCTAGTGCAGACGGTGTGCAGTACCGTAGCTTATGAGCGACAGGGAGGTCCCACAATCGGACGATAGGCTCTTGCGATCGGCAAGACGCCCGATAGCCCACTTGGTGTTAGGACCAGAGGGCGACATATATATGTTTCGTCAACAAAGGGAGAGACAGCAGCAGCAGCGGAGGGCTAGGGATATATATGTTTCGTCAGCAAAGGGAGAGACAGCAGCAGCAGCGGAGGGCTAGGGCCGCAGAGGCAAGCAGGGCGTTCACAAGCGAAGCCGCCGCTTCAGCAGCTATGGCAACTGCTGCGCAACAGAGTTCCCAGGCCGGCAGTTCAGAATCTGTAGGGTCAACGGTTGCACAGACCCTGAGTCAGTCAACTGGCGTAATGGCAAGCCAACCGTTCGTGATGACTCCCGAAGAGGTCGCCATACAACGAGCTGCTGATCGCGAGGCATAGATACAGTAGGCTTTGGAAGAGATTAAGGCAGAGAAAGAGAGAATGATTAGAAGAAGAGCCAGGATGCAGTAGAGGCAAGCGGACATTAGTGAGTTAGAGAAAATGGAACCTGCATACTTGGATGATGATGTGAGGATACTAGTGCGGTCTTGCTAGGTGTGGTAGAGATCAAAGGTCGCCAGATGGCTATCTTACAGACATCCAGCAAAGTCTGGCTGTGTTGGTCGGGCGAGCGCAGGCGGTACCATCGCCGTTCGGGCCCGGTGTCTGGCTTGTACATCCTCCTCCCTTTGTCCCATCGGTGACTGGGGTGTCCCCATATACAGCTCCATCATCGGTCCAACCCGTTTCCTTGGGTATGCGTTTAACAGGCGGGTTCTCAGCAGGTCCTAGTGTATAGGTTCCTGTACAGACAGTGTTCACCCAACCTCCGTCGCAGGTTGCCATAAGCGGGCAGCCTGCTGTCTCGCAGCCTGCACAACCGCAGGGTACACAACCCCAGCAGCAACTAGTGCAGCAGCCTGCGCTACAGGGTCCACAACTCGGAATGGTGCAGGTACCGGGACAAAGTCAGTGGGTTCCAAAGACGGCCATCACCGCTCCTAAACCCTTTACAGGGGATAAGAGGGGCGAAGACCTTGACACATGGTTGAGGGCAGTGCCAGTCTATGTCAAGTGCAAACTTACCTTGCCGCACGAGGAAGTGCTTGTGGCTGCCTCCTATCTAAAGGGGAGTGCAACAAGATGGCTGAGTGGTTTAGTGCAGCTACAGGGGTACGGTCATGACTTTCGCGCTTGGGCGGTCACCCAGAAACAAGATGACTTCCTCAAGTTGGTGGAGGACAGGTGGCATGATCCTCAGGAGGCCCAAAAGGCTACTGACGCGATCCTGACACTGCATACCAGGCAGTTCAAGTCAGTAAGAGAGGCCACTGACGCAGTAGAGCGTTTGATCTGTGTCCCTGGGGTGCGCTATGACCCCCAGGTTTTACTCACTTCCTACATGAGATGCTTTCCCATGCCTCTCAGGAATCAGTTGGCAAGTGAGGCCAACATCAACATGCACGACTTCCCCTCGTTTAGCAAGAATGCCCTAGACTTGGAAGCAAAGATAGGGCATGGTCAGACGCCCGCGACGGATGGTAAAAAAAAGTCACTGCCTCCCAATTGGAAAGCGAAGGGACGCATCATGTTCGTTGACAACGATGGATCCACCATCGAATTGGATGACGACTTCCAGGCGGGAGTAGGTTCAGAGGCTGACAGCGTAGAAGCTTCAGGGGGTGGAGTAGTCGCTGCCGTAGCTCAAAAAGGTAAGGCGACCGGTAGACGCCGAGGAGGTTCCCGGTCAAGGAGTCAAGTTGACCCGAATGCTCCTCCATGGGAGAAAGCGAGTCTCAGTGAGGACGTGTGGAGAGATCGGTACACGCAGCAGACTTGTATCCGTTGTAGCCAGTACGGCCATAACCAGTTCAAGTGCCGAAACAAGAACGTGACCGAAAAGATCCTGCCTATGATGGGGCAGGCGTTGGGATCCTCCATTCCCGTTGGTAGCAATGTAGCCAGCAGTTCTGACGCTGCTCCGGGAAACGCCTTGGGCCAGTAGGATAGTAGCTGTTCCTACTAGGGCCGAGGTGGTGGACACACCCTCACCATCTCGAGATATGGCCCAAGCTATTGATTCCATCGTCGTCCCGCAAACACATTCAGACCCATCGAGCCTCTGTTTGATGAATGTGTTCGAATTTTTAAAGGAGCTAGAGGAGGAGTGGTCTAGATCAGACCCCCTAGCTTCTTGGGCGGCATTAGCTAAAGCCCCTAAGGGAGAGAAGTTCGTCGGCGAGGTAGTCATCGACAGCCGTAAGGCCGACGTCTAACATGACACTTGCTCGACTAGGAACTTCATTAGTCGCGCGTGCGTTGAGAGGCTGCGCTTAGAGGGGCAAGTGCAGCGCCTGAGTTGACCTGTGAAGTCGACCTGTGCCAACAAACAACGCATGGTAGTCAACGATTACCTCCAAGATATCGAGTGTTGTTTCCCGTACGTGGGAGGGGAACTGAGACATCGCGTCTCGTTCCTAGTGAGCGATGATCTCCCTACGGATATCTTGGCGTCTCGTTCCTAGTGAGCGATGATCTCCCTATGGATATCTTGTTAGGTATGTACTACCTCTCCGTTGCACAGCCCCAGTTTGATTGAGACCGAAAAGTGGTCAAACACACTTTGCCAGGTGGGGGAACCGCCAGATTACGTAAGTTTAAGGCTAGTAGTCTGATCGAGTCCTACGGATGCATGTGTGCGGCCATGTTCTACAATTATTACAAGCAGAATCTGGAGGAGGGTATGTATCTAGTCTATGTCTCTGCAGCAGGCGAGCCAGTGAAAATGCCGCCGGAGATAGAGGGATTAGTTGTCAAGTACCCTGATCTATTTGAAGAGCCTACAGGGGTTGTTGAGAGGGAGGTCGTCCACGCGATATAGATTATCCCAGGGTCTAGCATTCCGAAGGGTAGGATTTATTGGATGTCTCCAAACGAGCTTGATGAGCTTCGCCGACAACTCAAGGAACTTGTAGAAAAGGGATGGATCCGACCAAGTATCTCTCCTTATTGTTCTCCAGTCTTATTTGTACCAAAGAAGGGGGGCACTTTGAGGATGTGCATTGACTATAGGGGTCTCAATGCCGTCACTGTCAAGGACCGAGAGCCCCTACCGCGCATTGACGACTTGTTAGATCGAGCGCAAGGGTGCCGGTACTTCAGTAAGATAGATCTGAAGTCTGGGTACCATCAAATTGCTATACGGCCCGAGGATCAACACAAAACCGCATTTTAGACGAGGTACGGTCTCCACGAGTTTGTGGTGATGCCTTTCGGCCTTTGCGATGCTCCTGGCACCTTTCAGCACGCGATGAATCGAATCTTTCATGACTACTTGGATAATTTTGTCATCGTGTACGTCGATGACATATTTATCTTTAGTAGGATTGTCGAAGAGCACGTAGCACACTTGGACAAAGTCCTTAGTCTCCTTCGACGACACAAGTTCAAGATCAACGGTGAGAAGTGCGAGTTCGGCCGCACCCGTATCTTGTACTTGGGTCATGAGATTTTCGTGGAGGGATTGAAGCTCGATGACGCGAAGGTGGCCAACATTCGTGACTGGCCGCGTCCTCAGTCTGTGATTGAGATGAGGTCTTTCTTAGGGATGATCGACTGCTACCGTAATTTTGTTACGAACTATAGTACTGTGGCCGCTCCTTTGACTGACCTGACCCGCCTTGACACCCCGCGGGAATGGACATACAGGTGCGAGGCTGCTTTTAGACATTTGAAGCATGCGTTGACACACCATGAGGTCTTGAAGCTCCCCGATCCTGACAAGCCGTTTATAGTCACCACGGATGCTAGCCAATATGGCATAGGCGCCATGCTCGCGCAGCAGGAGGGGCCAAAGTTGAGGCCAGTTGAGTACATGTCCAAGAAGATGCTGTCTCAGAAGTTAGCTAAGTCCACTTATGAGAAAGAGCTCTACGCGATTTACAAGGCATTGACCCACTGGAGACATTACCTCCTTGGGAGGTTCTTCATCGTCAGAACTGATCATCAGATCTTGAAGTGGATGAGAACCCAACCTGTGCTCTCCGATGCATTGAAGCGCTGGATCGAAGTCATTGAACAGTATGACTTCGAACCGCAATATCTAAAAGGGGAGTACAACAAAGTTGCTGATGCCTTATCGCGCAGGCCTGACTTCTCCGGTGTGCTGATTACCGAGTTCGAGCTCGCGAACGATGTCACTCGCTCGTATCGCAAGGACCAGTTCATGTCTAAGATCATACGCAGACTCGAGGCGAAGGACAAGGTGACTTCTGTCGAGTTTGAGTTGGTCAACGGACTGTTTTTCCTTGAGAAGGCAGGGAATAAACGTCTGTGTGTGCCAGATAGAGCGTCTTTAGGAGAGTGTCATGATGCCACCGGACATTTTGGCTATAAAAAGACAGCAGCCAATCTGCTGCAGAGGTTCTGGTGGCCCACGATGATGAGAGACGCAAAGCTGTACATGGAAACTTGTCAGGTCTGTTAGAGGGACAAGCCACGTACACAGGCTCCTCTTGGGCTTCTAAAGCCCCTTCCGATTCCGAAAAGGCCTGGTGAGAGCCTGTCTATGGATTTCATGGATGCACTGGTCACCAGCAAGAATGGAATGCGCTACGCCTATGTCATTGTAGATAGGTTTAGTAAGTGGGCTAGGTTAGTCGCAATGCCTGCAACAGCTAAAATTGAGTATGTGATCAAGCTGTTCAAAGAAAACTGGGTCAGAGATTTTGGACTGCCTAAGTATATAATTAGTGACCAGGATGTGCGATTCACCAGCGAACTGTGGAAAGCCGCAGCTGCAGAACAGGGCACACAATTGCAAATGACATCAGGCAATCACCCAGAGGTGACTGGGCAGGCAGAGCAGTTGAACCACGCTGTACAACACCTGCTGAGGCATTACATTAAGCCAAATCAGGTGGACTGGGATGAGAAACTTGCTCTCATCGCCAGCCTGTACAACAATGCTGTGCACAGCGCTACGGGAGTGAGCCTGAACAACTTGCTACTGACTTTCAAGCCTAGACTGCCTTTGGATTTCCTACTACCTGAGAATCAGTCATCTGCTGCACCACACACACACACACACACACACACACACACACACACACACACACACACACACACACACGCATGCACAATCCCCGTATCTCTCTCTCTCTCTCAGGCAACACGGGCGACAACGAAAGCGCTGTCTAATCTCTCTCTCTCTCTCTCTCTCTCTCTCTCTCTCTTGGCGATGCGTATCTCATCCAATCTCTCTCTCTCTCTCTCTCTCTCTCTCTCTCTCTCTCTCTC